GCAAATTTAGGTTTCGTTTGGGACGGCTTTCTTGGTGTTTCTTAAAGTAGTTTTTTATTATAAAAATTTTAATTTTTAAACTAAAAAATTGTTTTAAGAAGTAATAAAAAGTTGTCACAAACGAAGCCTTAGTCATTAAGAAATAATTTAAGTGATTAAAAAAACTTTCAATATAATGATCAACTATGATAGAATGGATTTTTTTTTCATTAATATAACACTAAAAAAGATAGAAAGAAAAATAGATATGTTAAAGAATGCTGAAAGTAACATCTACTGATTATATAAGGGAAAAATAGATAAAATTGTTGGTTAACATGAACAAGAATTATGCAAAAGAGTTGAACAAACTAGGCTTAACAAAAGAAGAATCAAGCTTGATCAGGCAAGATGATGGCCATAACCTTGGGCTTACTCATAAAACAAGTCAATATAACCATTTTGTCGTTCTCTTCTACTCTTCAAATTTATGCTTCCCAACACTGCCATTACTGTATTCAGTTCAAAGTTAAAATTCTTGAGAAATAATTATGAACATCAGCTTTCCCCTTATCGATGAGAAATTATTTGGCGAGCACAGCTAATTTCTTTTTGTGAGCTAGTTCTACTTACTTTCCCTTTTTTTTCTATATTAGTTTGTATTAAAACAACTATAATTTTCAAGTTCATAAAAGAAGATGAGCGACTCTCACCTAATAGTTTTTCTATCGTTGTCTATTCATTCAATGACGTTAACAAACGAATCAAAAGGAAGCAGCTTTGTATATCTATATATGAAACAGTTTTACAAGTTTGATCAAAACATCAGCTTTCTCTTTATCCATGGTGTTTAAGGAGTTTCATCCTTTGAATTCACTGCAAAATATGCATCTTTATCTTTCTAACTTGTCAAAAACCCTTTTTTTATCAAGTCTTATGGGAGGTTAGTGATACAATTTCAAGTCAAATCAAATAAAAATAAGGGTACAAACCTATTAAATGTCTCAAACACAAGACACAAATTTTTATGATTCAATAGGATCTCTCATGTCTATGATTTCTGAGAGATCAAATATTTTATTAAGTTTCAAAATAGATATGGAGACATTACACTTTATATAAATAAAGATAAAATAATAACTTTATTTGTATTAGTGGCTGACAGAAAATATAAACATCTATTATGTAACAGTCCAAAGAGGCTCACGATTTTATCCTGTTGGTGTAACTTTTCAGTAGGTCACTCATCCTAGAATTGCTCTGGGATGAGCACGCTTAACTAAAGAGTTTCTTATGAAAATTCTAGCTGTTACACCAAAAAGCACATCGATGTTTAAGAGTTAGCTTTTTTTTACTTAAGGGGTTTCACATATTATGAATGAGGGTTGAACAGAAAGATGAAGATGTTGATACTACGTCTAGGGTTGCAAAATGAACTGATTGAGCTAACTTTGTGGGTGTTTGAGCTTGTGCACCTTTGCAAAAGTCTTATTCGAGCCCGATATGTGCTTGATTAGAGCTTTTATAAATATTCAATTTATTTAAATTCATGCTTATTCGAGATTGGTTTAAGATGACCAAAGTATCATCACATAGCCTATAGCCTAAATAATCTCATGTGACCTATGGTTACAAGCTCGGCCTCTTCTAAAAATGAGCTATGCCATAGAGCTTTATTCTTTATTGTTTATGAACAGTACTACACTATAGTAAACAGATTGACAAAGATTGGTTATATAAAAAAATTAATGATATGAATATCAAGGATTTATGTATTCCAACATAAGACAAGGAGATCAATTTATTAAGGATGACATATACACTTAATGGTTAATATTAGCCTTAATTAGTTTTATAAATTATTTAATCTAGCCATAATATCGAGTATTATATCAATTATCAAGCATTATAACAAGTTTTAATTGAGTTTTTTAATAAACTTGTTCACGAGCTTTAAATAATATTATTCATGATCATAGACAAATTTAACAATAAGCTAATAAAATTTATTCATTTAACAATTAATTATTTATAAAAGCATTCAAATTTGTCGATATATTAATTAAACATTCTTGAACAAGCTTTAAATTAAGAAATTAAGTAAATGGAAGGCTATTATAGAAAATTACAATAGTGACACACCTACAAATGGGTGAATTGAAGATTTTAAATAATGTAAAGAAATTTACATGATTTGGAGAAATTATAATTAACTTAAAGAGTATTATAGAGAACAAAAATATTGAAACATCCAAAAAATGACAAATTGGAGATCGATGTTGAATATTGTAAATAACTGGAAATGTATGTTGCAAAATAAGGGTAAATATACTTAAACTGATTTGATTTGTATGCATTAATTAAGTCTTCATTTGGGACAATTTTTTTATTACTTAACTAGAATAAAATAAGTTCTTATTTTTATGACTTGTATCTATAGCAAAGAGCTATAATAGGCTATGAGTTTGGATTTTTTGTAGCTTGGACCCAAATCAAAGAGCTAACTGAGATGAATGAGTTTTAATGACCTAAATATGTCAAACTAGGTTATTGTATTTTGGCTTTAATAACTCAAGCCAACCCAAGTAAGCTAAACCAAAAGGTAGGTTAGATCTAAATGACCTAAATTTAACTAAGTAGGTTAAATTAAGAAACAGTTTAAACTTTAAAAGTGTAAACCTTGCCTAAAATCTAAGGAATTAGCAATATAGATCCAGCGCGCTCCATGTGGTTAGACAATTATGCCAATACATATTTGGGTGAATCAATCAATAGTCATGACTTGTTACATAAGTGAACATTTGCTCTCTCTCTATTAGTTTTTTAACAATTAAATGGTATCTCAATGAGGGATACAATAATGTGATCAACATTTGCTTTGTTGCCGACACTAAGTAGTAGGTTAGGCATTTGTTAATGACATTCATGTCATCATTCTTTAGTCCATGCTACTAGGAATAAGCATTCAGGTCATGATACACCTTATTGATTATTAGGTGAATAATGTGCTTTTAATAATTAGCTTCCTTCAGTATGATTTTGTCCTTAAGAGTTACATACACGAGTTCTTTCTTAAAAGGTGGCATTAACTTGATATCCACTTGAAAGTTTGTAAGTATCTATTTTTTACATTTTGTAATCAGTTAGACATCTAATGGTCAACTGCTTACACTTCCATGAGTTGCATCTCTTAGTATGCTATGATAGTCATCATATTTGGTTTGCTAGTTGAGGTATCAAAAAATGACTTCTTATTAAGTGTGCTAGCTTAGAAGTTATAACATTGCATGATTCATCAGTGATTTTACTGAAGATTGTCATCATAAATATCATCTCTCAATTCCCTTTTAAGGGGTAAAATATTCAAATTGTTAGATTTTTCATAGTCTTTTGATTCTTTAATCTCCAGAATAACTTCACACTTTCTGAGAATGTTGAAGTTGGATTTTTTCTCTCAATATTTTCCTTCTCTCTCTAGATTTCAACCTTCCTCCTCACCAACATTTTGAATCTCTTAAAGCCTTACAAAGTTCTTTAAAAGTTTATCTCCTCTCTCTATTGTAATCTTCCATTTCTTCCATGCTCTATTTGTTATTGTATAACTCCACTTAAAATATATCCAACAATTTTTTAATTCATCAGGATAAAATTTGATTGGGATATTTGAAGTCATTTTCTTACTTTTAAAATCATTGAATTAAAGTTAATATAAGTAAAATTTATAAATTATTAATGTACCCTTGTATTTTGCTCATCTCAAATCAAATCCAAAGATCTTAAAATCTATAATGATCAAAGTTTGATGGGGATATTCTCACCAAATTATTTCTCGCTAAGAAATTCTTCATTAATCAATAGTTGATGCAAAGCAATCAAATTGCTTACGTATAGCATGAGATATGCAACTTTTATATTGTTATCATAAGTTTTATATTTTACATAAAAACTTTTTAATAACATTATTATTTTTGAAATTATTATGAATATTATTAATTTTTTCATATATTATTTCAAAATTAGAAATTTATTGGCACAAATATCCTTAAAACTTCATATTTCATAACCAAAATTAGCATGCATATATTATTTTTTTATAAATTATAAATTGAAAATGAATTAATCGAATAAGTAATTTAAAATTTTAAATATCAAATGTCATAATTTAAAAAAAATATCTTAATAAGAAATCAATCAAAACATCCTAAGAAAATGTCAAAAATAACATTTTATTTAAATTATTATCAAATCAATCAAGATAAATAGAACCATAGACTCAATCCGAATAAGATTTTGAAATATTAATATAAAAGCCCTAATAATCACTTCTTCAAAAAAAAAGAAAAAAAAAAACTCCTTTTTGGCTCTTTCATTTCTAAGTGAAATGGGCACTTCTTCCATAATTCCAAGTGTCAAAAACCCTTCCATTTGTTCTAAATAGGCATTAGGTGACAATTATAAGGGGACATGTGAAGTGTTTGGGAATCATGTGGCTAAAAGGGCATATTCTTCTCCTTCTTCTTTTCAAATATTTGAGTCAAATATGTGATCTCATAGATACCTAATTCATCCCTATAATACTATTAAAACTTAGATTAGGATAAGATAGAAATATATATATATATATTTTTTTTATTTATATATATATATATATATATATATATATATATATATATATATGTGTGTGTGTAAATTATTTATTTAAATATATCCCCTATAAATGTAAAAAATAAAATAAAATAAGCGATGCAAAAGAGCAAATAGGCCTAATAATACAAAGCGGGGCCGCCCATAGCGGCATCTCATGGTCCAGTCTCCACGACTCCAACTGCGCCTGAAACACCGGTGCCCCCTGAAATCACGCCACGTGGACATCGTTCTAACGGCACCACATTTTCCTTCACCCCCTTCACATTTTGCAAATTGCAATTTTGTTGTCCTCCTCCCTCTCTACCACTCCCTCATCATATTAAGAAAGCCCAGTCAGTCTTTCCTGCTGTTTGCTTTGTCTGCCATTTTTGTCTGTGTGTGTGTGCGAGAAAGAGAGAGAGAGAGAGAGAGAGAGAGAGAGAGAGAGGGAGAGAGATGGGGAATTGTCAAGCGAACGACGCGGCAGCGGTGGTGATACAGCACTCAGACGGGCACGCCGAAAGGCTCTACTGGCCGACGACCGCCGACGCAGTCATGAGAAACCACCCCGACCACTACGTCGCCCATATCACCCCCTCCGGCGCCGGCCGCAAACTCTCAGCCTCCGCCGACGTCGGTTCCATTATCCGGTTCGCTAAAATTCGCCTCCTCAAGCACAAGGAGATGCTTCTCATTGGCCAAGTCTACCGCCTCATGACCTCCGAAGGTCAAATTTCCAACCTTTATATTCCCTCCTTATGCATAATTAGTGAAAAAGTTCCGATTTTTATGCTTTACTGAAAGTGTTTTCCTCTGATTCTTCAGAGGTGACGAAGGAGCTAAGGGCAAGGAAACATGAGAGAATAAGAAAGGCACAGAATATCCAGATCAAGCAACAAGAAGTAGAAATCCAGCAACATTTACTTCAAATGCTTGAGCAGCAAAATCAAAGAGTAAATGAAAGAACAAGTATTGAGGATTCTGCGGATTCTGGTGAAGCTGATCCGCAAGTGATGGATCAGGTACAAAAATGTTTAATTTCTCCCATCATTGCTTAAATTTTCTTCTTCTTTTTCTGTTTTGTGGACTGAGGAGGATGATTAACTCTCAGGCAGCAAGGCATGAGAGAGAGAAGATGAGAAGTTCCAGGACTTGGCGGCCATCTCTGGACAGCATCTCAGAGCTAGGAAGCTTATGATATTTTACTGTTGATTGCAGAGGAGGACTACTCTTGAATTAGTTGACAAGCCCAGAAAACTTAGATTATGTGGTGATATTAGTTCAAGAGGGGAAGATCAGAACTCTGTAATGGGAATGAATTCATGATCAATAGTAACAAATATCAATCAGAGGTTGCTAGTCATGATTTGTTTTATCAAGTTATCAATATTTCTTCTGATGCATTTCTGATGGCAATCTCTGTAACAATCAAACTGAATCTTTTTATGTTTAAGATAAGTTTGGTTTGATGTTAAATATAAGTATTTAGTTTGATCATTTTCAACTTTGTTATTGTGTGCTGGAGACTTTTGTGATTATAAAATAAGAGTCCATTAACTTTGTATTGATGAATAAATAACACAGAAGATAAAGATCATAAAGCCTACCTCAGCTGAAATGCTTCCATTACGCCAATCAAAAATTTCAATGAACCAACATTCTTTATTGTTGGAGAGTAAGTAATTACAAGGCCTCAATTTTATATGTTGTCTCAAGTAATGAAAATTTAAAAACCTCCCATTTCATTTATTCTGCATTACTAATACATCAAAACAAATGCCCCTCAAGTCTAAAATTCTCTCCATAAAAAGTCCTCTTTAAATGTGCAAAAACATATCATATTTATATATTTGTAAGGAAAATTTTTGGGCATTCTATATTTCATCAGATGATTTGAATTAGGCTTCGTTTGGGACGACTTTCTTACTGCTTCAAGAAGCAGTAAGAAAGTCGTCCCAAACGAAACCTTAATCTCCTTAATTATTTGATACTCTTTAGATATCTCAATACCTTACAGATCTCGAAATCGCGTGATCTTGAGCTTGTCATTTTCATGCCCTTGGAAAACTCATTTCAACGATAAGAACACAAAATTTACAAGAGATGTGACCCTTCAATTGCACTCCAAAAGTTGCCAATTCTTTGTTTAAATGATTTTTTTGAGTTCATTTACAATTTGGTAGCTGAATTTGCTTCACTAAAGCTTCATTCAAGATTAATTTTCTTACTGTTTTATGCATCAGCTTTCTAGCATAAAAATTTTAAATAATAAAAAATTTGTATTAAAAAACTACTTCATAAAGCAGTAAGAATGTTGCCCAAACGAAGCCTAAATCATATTGACTTCATTATAAATTGTGAAAAAAAAATTCAAACAATCCTAAAATATCTTACCATTGATCTTTGGATTTTTGGAGGAAGCATTTTGTCATTGATTCTTATAGGTTCTGATTTAATAAAATATTTGGGTCATTGCAAAATTCTTCTCACAACTGTCTTATTGTTCTCTGTTACCAAAGCAGAATATCCAATGAGCAGAATTGACCATTTGAGCAGCTTCTAACTATACTAGATGAGAAATATTAACAAAATTTGAATTAAATTTAATTTCTTTTAAGATAGATAAACTACATGACTAGCTAATTAACTCTTAAATTATAAAAAAATTATGCTGATTAAATTTATTCAAAATAACATAGAATTCATCATTAAACAAATGCTTTAAGAAAACAATTTCATCAGAGTAAAACGTCAACAGAGATTCCCATCATAAATATATATTAATAGATTTGATTAGCAATTTAGCATATTTGGGCTGCACTATAAGCAACAAATATTGTTCATGTCATTAAGAGAGAATGCTAATGGAATTACAATGATTGCAATAATTCAAGCACAAATGGACAAGAGAGAGAGAGAGAGGAAGGCTTTTAAATAGCACTATGAGGCATGAGCAGGGTCAAGAGTATTTTGGCCCTAAGATGGCATTGTTTGAATTAATGCTTTTGTTTGTGCCTAGTTCTCAGTACAATATGTTGCTTCATACAAGATGACTCTCATGCATCTTGATGCATATAAGATGAAATACGTCTACGAATAAATGAAACAGCCATATGCTTGTGCCTTCGATTGTTAGACTAATCAGATGTGCCAAGTTGCACATCATAATTGAGCCTCAATGCCAGTGTGTAGTTGGCCATACGTGTAAGCTTGCCAGGTTGCCCAAACTAAGAGTTCCTATAGAAAGAAATTAAGAGTTTATGGTGCATCTTTAATTCTCACATGATTTTAAATGATAAATAGCCTTTTTCATTCTAATAAAGACAATGAATGATTATTATTTCCTCTAAAAAAATCTACAAATTTGTTAATAGTACTATGGGGTTAAAGAGCCATAGCTTGATATTTTTGGGTCAATACGTGCAGACATCAATTCTAAATTAAGACTTGACCATCTTATTCAAATAAATAATGAATAATAAAATTTAAAACCTTTTTTTTAGCCCAAAAATCATTAAAAAAAAAAAAAAAAAAACACTAATATATATCACAAATCACATCAAGTGGCTACTAAATGATAACTATGTTGTTAAACAAAATGATTGACTACAATACTAGTCCAAATTAAAATTGGTCCATTTGATAATATTTTCACGAAAATAAAATTTAAAACTAAACAACTATTTTTTCTTATGAACACTACTTTTACTCTAAAATGAAATTATAACTTATCAAGATCAAGGTTAATTCCTCATATCACAACACATTATCAAATTATAAATAAATATTATCATTACAATTCACTTAAGCAGCACAAAAGAAATAAAGTGCGAAAAACTAAAGGTGCAAACTTGATTTATAGTGGTTCGACCTACTAGCCTATATGCATCCACTTCTCAAGTCATCTACTTGAAAATTTCATTATATCTCTTCTTTTGTTGCAAGCAAGATGAAAAAGCCTCTCTCCATTAGGGGTATTGGAAAGGCCCTTACACATCTTTTATCACATGAAAAGCTCAATAGCCCTAACCTACTGGCTAGGTTCCACAGCAAACCAAAAAAAAAACTCTACAATATCAAAAAATATTCACAAGCAAAACATAACAAGCTTTAGAATCAGAGCTTCAACTCTCAAATCAAAGGATTAAGAAAATGATTTGAAAATGGTGCAAACTCTCACAAAAGAACCTCTTGAATGGTAAAAAGTTTTCAAAATAGAAAGTAGTTGCAAAAGAAATATTTTTCTCAAAGATTTCAGTTTTTCAATAGCTTCTTCCTCAGAAATCTCATTTTAGGGTTTTTAGAAAAGTATATTTATATGACGACTTAATTAGAAAATCCTCAATGTTAGGTTATTAAAATTTATGTTTGATCATGCAATTTGATTCAAGGATTGTATACTGTAATTAGTATAGTTGTCAAATATTTAAGAAAAAACTATATTTGTTTGATCAGACTCTTGATGCGGGCGCTTTAATTGGTGTTTTCTTTGAATTGATATGGAAATATGCTTATGTTTTATTTGATATAAAAATAATGAAAACCCATTAAAATACACATGTATATGCATCGATCAAGTAATAAAGGGTTATAATAGAGTGTCGACCCTATGAGAAATTAGTGTTATGCTTAATTTCAATTAAACTACTATTACTTGCTTCAAATGCACAATTCATCCTACTGAAAGTAAAAATGCTTATTTTTTAGTTTTTGTCACTTAGAAAAAACTTTTAAGAATATTTGATATTAGTGAAGATAAAATATTTTGGCTAATGGATTCAGCAACATAATTTTCCTAATTAGATTCTTAATTTTAGATGTGGATCAAAACATATGCATCTCTAAATTTCAGTCGAGCTTGTAGGGATGAAAAAAAAAAGGTTTATGACATTTCTACAATTTTATCATTCCTATAGAACCTAAAATATTCAAAGATTATATGTCTAGACATGCCAACATTCCATTTTAATACTTCTAATTGTTCCAACATTCATCCATCGAGGCTATACATCACACTAGATATAAACTACATACACGGCCACTATATACATTAAATGAAGAATGTGATATATTGAAGACATCTATGTATTCAATAAAGGCACAAGATTCTACAGTAGTACTTGTTATGCGTTTACGTCACCAACTGAAAACTAAAGAATTAGTCAGATATGGAAGATAAAACAAGCAAACTCATTTTCAATTCATTTATTAAAATAAGTAATACAAGAAAAGTAATAAGATAATTGTCACCGGAAGGATAAATTGATCTTCTAAACACTCCTTTCTCCAATAATAGAGTTGCTATCTTGCACTTCTCTAGCCTCTCTTAGACTTCATTCTAAGGGAGCACTAAAGAATCACACTAAAAATTACAAATTTTTGCTCAAGCGACAAAAATATCTAAACAACAAAATAAAAAAACTATGTATAGTAAGTACAAGGAAAGGATCAGGCAACACGACAGTATAAAATGAACTAGGACCTCAACGTTGTAATGCTTGCTCCGTTGTGGTGTTGGCTGACCTGACACAGTTAATTGCCGAACTGATGCATCTTTTGGCTGATTCATTGCGATTTTTTGTCTCGGCAATTGCTCCGTAGATGCGTTCTAAAATCTGAGCGTTGCTATGCTTGAATGCTACTTTCGGTGCCGAGGCATTGCAAGGCTTGACGCTCCGGCGCTCATTTTCCTAAGGCTCTAGTGTTGTAGTATCGAATTTGGGCGCATCGGCATTGTGTTATGTTGCGGCGCTGGTCTTGGTGTTCCGATATCGTTGGGAAACATAGAAACATACATAATCTTTAACTTGAATATAATTAATCATGCAATCCTTTTTTCATTGTCTAGTACAATTAGTATTGTGATTATAATTTGAATTTTCTCATAATCAACATGAGATAATCTTTTAGAATTATCAAATATATCACGTGCATCATAAAGTATGATACAATTTTTATAATACAATTTGCTGATCAGGAGACTAAGCAAAACATTAACTAGTTTAATATTTTTTTGATAATTTTATGGACAAAATTTTATGGCAGTGGAATGTTAGATTTTTTTTTTTTGATGCAAAATGATGAGGACCTCCATATCAAATGTTTTGAATGTTTGATAACTAGTGTTAGTGATTTTAAGTTTATTCGGTATAAGCAAATTGATTTTTTTTATTGTTATTTTATTAGATAAATATGTCTGAAAGTTCATTTTCAATTTTATATGCCTCACATTTTGTCTCTATTTTCTCACAATTAAAAAAAATAAACAACGAGAAGCTATTTTTACTATCAAAATTGCTAATATGTGATAATTTTAATAAAATAGTTATTTGATTTAAAAAATATATTTATAATATTTATGATAAGAATTAAAAAGTTATTTTCTCGACTATTATTTCACAATCACCTTTACAAAATAATGATGAGATCTCATTCAGACCCTTAATCAAATAATTTACAAATATTTTTTAATACATTATTCTTAGTTTACATTATATTATTTAATTCTATTTGTTTAGCAAAATAAATAGCCCATAATTATAAATTTTGCATCTTTAGGTTATCCTATTTGTTTTTTTAGCTGCAGGCCTTTTGTTTATTTTCTACACGTGTGAGCAGTGATTATACAATTTGTTTTTCAGCATAATTGGCTGTGAAAAAAAAAAAAGACAGAGTGCGAAGCCCCGCACGAGCCACGTGCACAGTTTGGCTGCTCACTGGCCCAATGGCTGCCCAGCCATTGTCTGCTCCTGACCTCCCAGACTGCCCGAACTTGCCCGTTCCTCCTTGCCGTCTACTTCTAGGCTTCTACAGTCTCTCTCTCTCTCTCTCTCTCTACCTCAGTGAAAATCACCGTTTTTGGACCTAAATCTCTCTTGAAATCCCTATTGGCTTCCCAAAAACAGAAATCCCTTCTCGGTCTTTGTAACTACGGTTGTCTCTTTCGGCGCAGTCTGGGTCTTCGATCGTTCTGCGGTGTCCACTTGCAACGGGATTAGGGTTTCGGCGACCTTCAGCAATCCGTAGATGGGTGGGGGCTGAGGCTTTTGTTTCTTGCATATTTTTGGTTTAGAAGTGAGGCGAATGGGGATTGTTTCTTCTGCTGGCGGGGAGAATTAGCGACGATTGATATGTGGGGAATTGATGTTTCACGCACGAGTAGGAATCGGAACTGGTTGTCGCGGTGAAGATGCAAGAAAAAGTAGTCAGCATATGCGGCCTGTGCTTACGAACGTCGCAGCAGCAGCAGAAGCTAATAAACCAGCCCCGGTTCTGCTGCCAACAACTCCCAAGTTGTTTTTGAAGGTACCTCATTTTCTATTTGGCCTCAGATGACCATAATTTTTCATGGGAGCTCCAGGATGATGGGGTTCTTATGATGATTTATTGTTGGTGTTTTCGGTCTATCTGGATTTATGGATATATGATTATGAGTGGGGTTTTAAGGTGTTATTGTTTATAGGATTAGGATAACGTTTTTTTTTTTTTTTTGGCACCTTTAGTTGCTTTCTTCAGCTGGTTGGTTCTAATTCGTTTACTGGTTGGAGTATGTTGATGTTGAAAACCAAAGGAGGAAGATCTTCTTGAGAGATCTTCTTGCAAGATCAAGAGAGGGAGAGAGGAGGGAGAGGAGAGGGGGAAACCGTGAGCCAAACTCTGCAAACTTTATTTTCTTGGCTGCTTTCCTAATACAAGCTAAAGCCTATTAATAGGCATAAAAGCAACATAACAAACAACATAGAATTGGCTACATATGCCAAACAAGAAACCTACAAAAAAACAAACCTAAAACTAGGAACAAAACACAACAATCTTCACCTTGGTCCTAGATTTAACAAAAACAAAAGCATAGCCACTGTTCATAAAGAACAGCCAAATAACAACTCTGTCGGTCTCCTCCGCCAAAAAACATCCACCGACAGCTAAAAGTTTCTCAAGAACCGGTGAATCATCTTCTTGAGTTTCTAGCTCCTCCCGACAGATCTCCTGTCGCACTGCGTCCAATGCAGCCAATCCCAAGCACCCCTAGCCCGGCTTCCGCGCCCTGTGCATCCACCAGCACCCTGCGCCTCAGTGCCCGCGCCCTGCGCCTCCAGCCCGCGTCCAAACGCTACAAGCCCGCGCCTTGCACTCATGTGGTCTCTCTCCGACCACATCCTGCACGTATCCACCCATGCAGCGAGCCCTGCGCCTCCACCTGCGCTCCGCTTGTCACCAGTGCCCCACACTCATATGCGGACTCCTCGTGCACCGCACGACTTCGCATCTCCAAGCGCCCCGCACTTTCAACCATGCTCTCCAAGAGCAGCCGACACTACCTCAGTGTCTCCCAGACTCCACCTGAAGTCCAAAACTCCACCGCAAAGATCCAAACTGATCTTTCAATCAAAGAATGGAAAAAAAAACTGCTTCAAGACCGATCGAAACTTGATTCAAGATCAAGCAAAAAATTCGGTCTCAATGGCTTCCATGCTTCTGTTCTTGTCCGCCTTCGTCAACCTCTAGCGTACCTTTCCTTGAAGCTCCTCCACCTTTCACCTTCAAGCATATTGATCGCTGCTCTCTTGACCGGCTAAACAATCGCAAGAAGGTGTCTCCCGATCAAGAAGCCTTCTCTGATTTCGCACGTTCGCCTGAAGCCTCGCTCACAATGGTGCACACCAAGCGACTCTTGATCCAGCTTGCAACTGCGGCACCAGGCCGCTACTATAGCTCCGATCCCAGCTAAGCCAGGCCTTACCTGAGCTTTCAGTCCCCTCGCTCAACCGGCGAACCCGGCCAAGAAGCTCACGCCGGACGTCCGACCTCCTCCTCACACGAACCCAAAGGCAAGCCCGCCGTTCAACCCCTCACACAAGCCAAACAGCGGACATCCGCCTCCGAGCCGATCCCGACCTCAACGTCGAGCCCGCCTCCTTCCTCTACGTGATGTTGCCTCCCTCACCGTTGGGCTTCACCTCCGTGAGAGCTGCAAGCTTCATCTGCTCCTACCTCCGACGATCTTCATTGCGAACCAGCAACCCACATGTGATTCTCCCCCATATCCCTAGCTCTGATACCAAATTGTTGAAAACCAAAGGAGGAAGATCTTCTTGAGAGATCTTCTTGCAAGATCAAGAGAGGGAGAGAGGAGGGAGAGGAGAGGGGGAAACCGCGAGCCAAACTCTGCAAACTTTATTTTCTTGGCTGCTTTCCTAATACAAGCTAAAGCCTATTAATAGACACAAAAGCAACATAACGAGCAACACACAATTGTCTACATATGCCAAACAAGAAACCTACACAAAAGCAAACCTAAAACTAGGAACAAAACACAACAAATCGCAATGTTTTGTGATCAATATGATGATGTTTCTTTTTAACAAGTGCTCCCTCCCTCAATAAGAATACATGATGATATGGATGAAACGTGTTCGCTTTTTTTGGGCAATCGGCAGTATTTTTTTTTTTAACACAAAACTTTGGCAGAACCGCCGACTTGTTTGTTTGAGAGATAAACTATCTTCAATCTTTTGGTACTCCTTTTTAGTATATACCTTTTGGTTCTATGAACTATTTGTTTAATCATGGTTGGGTTGTTCTGTCGTTGATTACTGACATTAAAATTTTGTAATTTTTAGATAACAAATTTGTTGAGGAGGAATAATAAATAAAAAAAAAAGTTCAGCAGTTTCGTAGATATTAGCCTTTAACCAATAAATTGGAGGTTTAAAATGGTGCTTGAATCTAGAAAGCGCCCATTCAGTGCTCCTTTGTTACGTTGCACTATTCTTTAAGGTTTATGCTTGAGAAGTTTTTGGACTTCATGTATCGGAAATCAGTCTAAAGTTTAAGCTTTTTTCTTTATATGATACAACTTACAGCTCTCCCATCTTTTAGTCCTATAGAAGATGGAGGTGGATCTTTTTAGGCACTGTATGTCTGTATGTATAATGGTATGAATCAAGTAAAGATATCTTTTCAAAGCTATGGTGCACAGACAGGGAACGACACAAAAAATATATGATATTGATACGGGTTGGACACGATATTATAATTTTTATATCTTAAAAATAAGTAGAATATTATAATTTAGAAATGACAAGCCATTTAATTAGGATTTGTGCATGAAATGATTAAAATGTCGAGAGTTGGGCGTCGATGTCATGGTGTTGAGAGGAGAGATGACAATGTTGTCTAGAGTTGGACATCAATGTTGTGCAAGGAACATTAGTCGTCGATATCGAGTGACGCCATTCGTCGATGTCGAGACGGCATCAGCGGTCGATGTAGAGACGATGTCGGCCCATCGATGTTGAGATGATGTTGGATAAAGATGAGATGTCGAGATGGCACGGGGGTGTTATTGTGATTGTAGAAATTGCTCGCGTCAAGCGATAATGTCAATACAATGTCAGACTTCAATGTTGAAATATTTTTTTGAAAAATTGATGTTTTAATTGCGTCAGACATCAATGTTGAGATGACATTAAACATTGTTGTGACCCTAATTATGACTTGCCAGAGAGAAATGTAAATGAGAATGATCGAGAAATGGGGTGTTGAGTGGGGTGAATGATTTGGAGCTATAAAGAGGAAATAAGAAATTTAGGTTTTTTTTTTTTTTAAATTTTTTTAATAAAAAATGAAATTCAAGAAATTATATTAAAAAAAACTTTTTCATAAAAAGTTGAGACATGCCTATTGGACACGGTGTCCAATTTATTTTTAATATTTTTAATAGGACGCGTCTTTGACGTGTTGGAGGTGTGTTAGATGCTTGTCGTATTCGAGAAGTGTTGGACATTGAATACTTCTTTGAGTAGTAATGTCTGTGCATCATAGCTTCAAAGTGTTCAGAGCTTAAGATGCTTTTCGTCCATTCTTGGTGAAGTGTGAAGAAAACATTTTGTGTTGATATTTTCTTTTGTTTTTGAAGTCTCATGTATCTTTTTATCTATTTAATTCTTTTGCAATGGATAAGTAGAGCAATATCTTTTTGCATATAGTTATCTTGACATCTAGTTGTCCATTGGTTACTTGTTTGCTCATCAATGGAAGGATATGTTCCTCTTCCGAAGGACCCATGGTTATTTGTGAGCAACTTTCATTAGATATTGTTGACTAATAACCCCTTTTATGCCACAAGGCACCAACACACCCAAACAGCCACAACATACCAAAATAATTTTAAGTATAGATGTTATAATGCATTTGTATTCATCTTCTTCTCTATACTTTTGAGATATGGATATTCATGTTACAATTCAATGATTTCATGAATTGATTTTTATGTCATTTTTACTAGTCAATATTTTGTTCAAGTTTTAATCTGATGGTTTCTCTTTTCATATTTTTTCATTCCTTTTTTACTTAGAGTACTTTTATCTTCTATCTGGAAATATGAAGTTTTCATATGCCTTGATGAGCAGTATTTTAAAAGTCACATCGGTATTGGGAATAAAACCACATAGCAAACAAAAACAAGGAAGAGAAAATTCAGCAAAAAAGAAAGAATACTAGTATTTAACATGTGCAAATCTAAAATCGGTGAAAAATCACGGAGTCCACACCACACCACCCCTAGAAATTCACTATGAAAGTGGGAGAAATTGTACAGATCTCTTATCTTTCACTCTTTCCTTATATCTCTTCACTCCTTATATCGTTCTACTATAGAACTGACATAGAGACACACATAAACATCACAAGGCTCTCAACTCTTCAAGTTAAATATGAAAAACGAGAAAGAAAATTGCCTAGCCTCACTCTCCACGCCACGCCACGACACGACACTGGGATTTGGAGCATCAGAACACTCTACTCTCTGCCTCCAACTTGACTGGAAATACTGCAGCGCCAAGGTTTAGAGTGACGCGATGCTATGCTCTCTTTCCAACTAGAGAATGTAGCACTACAATGCTTGAGTATACAATGATGCAACACTGTATGTTTGTACGAGAAAAAAAGAAGTTTTTTGGTTGCTAGGCCCCAGAACCCAAAGTTTTTTTATGTCATTTTTACTAGTCAATATTTTGTTCAAGTTTTAATTTGATGGTTTCTCTTTTCATATTTTTTCATTCCTTTTTTACTTAGAGTACTTTTATCTTCTATCTGGAAATATGAAGTTTTCATATGCCTTGATGAGCAGTATTTTAAAAGTCACATCGGTATTGGGAATAAAACCACATAGCAAACAAAAACAAGGAAGAGAAAATTCAGCAAAAAAGAAAGAATACTAGTATTTAACATGTGCAAATCTAAAATCGGGGAAAAATCACGGAGTCCACACCACACCACCCCTAGAAATTCACTATGAAAGTGGG